ATATATATATATATATAATGATGTGTTTCTGTTTAAATAAAAATTTAAATACAATTAAATAATTGGTTTATTTTCTCCCATTTGTGTAACAAGTGAGGTCAAGTGTCGGTTGTTAGCACTATTTACTGAATTTACTGAAACGCAATGAATAGTTGATTTGATCTTAACTCGTCTTTTATATTTTTTGTCGCTCCGCCGTGGAAGGTGAGGGCGCTCCTTCTAGCAGACGGCCGCTTTTTTAAAAAAACAGACAGTCTGACCCCCTCATCAACAAGCCACTTCCTCTTTTGTCTAATTTCATGGCGATCGGGAGAGAGGGAACACCACCGACGGACGCACACTGTTTCGGCGCTCCTCAAAGAGTTTATCTGGGGTAAATAACTGCCTTTTTCGCGTCAACTTGCTCATTAGCGGCCAAGTACAACGAGTTTTATTCGCTTTCTTAAAGGTTTGAATCTCCTTGGAAACTAAAGGATTTGCTCAGCTTCTGGGTCAAACATTTCACATTGTAGCGCCACTCGCTGATAACAAATCGGACGAAATGGGCTCCCCCTCCGCCTGCATCTCTCCCACAGACCCAGCCACACCACACTTAACGGCGATGGCTAGCTAACGTTAGCAGCAGCATAAACGTCTCACATAGGTCGACCTTAAAAATACATACATTTATTAACTTTCTTACAACAATTTGATAGAGAATATATCAATTGTTCAATAGTTTAGAAAGTTTTTGGCACCTTAAGAATGTTAACCACTTGTAGTACTGTTGTGTTTGGGTTAGCGGACAGCTAGCTCCCGTGCTATGTGTTTAGTTAACTTGGATAGCGATTCAAAAGTTTGTACTCGGCTCACAAACTATAATTTACTTGCAGGTATTGAGTTAGCGTCATAGATAACTCAAAATATTAGTAACAATTGAAACTGTAATTTAACACATTTGTCCGCCATTCATTAAATTTACCCCGCTATTTGAAGGAGGAGAAACAAGCTAGCTAGCTTCGTCAGCTAACTAGTTGGTTAACGGTAACCTTATCAGTTAGGATGGTAGTATACGTACTACATAAAGTTTCCCCCTCTTAATTACCACATACATTTTATGTTTGATGTTTTTTTCGTTGGAACAAAAGTATACAGTTATCTTCACTTTAAACAAAGTTAGAATTTGTTCTTTAAATAACTTTAAAAGTTTTAACAATAAAATAACAGAAGGCCAGAAATCGTGAATATTGAAGCAAAAATGCTTTTAATATTGATGAACGATCTGGGGTTTATATATATATATATATATATATATATATATAATTGTGATAAAATAACAATTTGCAAAAGAAATAAAAAACTTGTTTTACGTATAACATTTTTGTTGTTAAAGACTGATATAGTAACAACTGAAATGTGCCTTCTGATGCCCTGTTAAAATGTATGTTTTTTTTATAGTCATGAAAGAAGGGACATGTTTAAATGTGGACAAGTTCTTAATTTCTCCATGTTCTGTTCAAATTGGTCAAATCCAGCGAGTCTCATATGTCCCAGTCTTTAAAAGGGAAAAACAAAGGCAAACAGATTTTGCTGATCAGACCTGAAAGAAAACAGGAAGATATCTGAGACGAAAATATTGATTGGTACAAATTCTACTTAAAATTATGCATACAGCTTTAATGATATTTCTGTATCCACCACACAACTCCTTGAATGAATGACCTGCTTCGTCATAATCTTATGTTTGGTAACAGAAACACATTCTGTAAAATAAAGTTGCACACACATTTGGCCAAGTATTTATTTGAATTTAGAGAAATGTTCATTGTAATCTTTCTTAAATCAATTTGACTAAGATTAAAAAACATTTTTGTTTTGTTTTATGTCAGTAACATCTAAATGGTGCTAAAAAAATGTTGCAGAATTAAAGTTTAATTGAGTCTTTTACAGGCTAAAGCATGAACAAAGAGACATCATTAAGATGGAAATGATAAAATATACTACGTTCTAATTAACAGTACAAAAAGCTATTCTAAAAGAGAAATGAGATTGCCATGTAGGATCATAATAATGACTTTTTTTAACATATTTTTTCAGTATTTAGTGCCTTAATGTATCTGCAGATATATTGTGACATTACTGTGATCTAAAGTTTCTTTACTTTTGCTTTGTTTACAGTTTAAACTAAGTTGTCAATCTTCCTGACACAAACATTTTCCAGGTGAGTGCGCCCCCACCCATATGTCTATATCTTATCTAATCCTCTGGTGTGCACATTTAAATTAATTTTTTCCACAAATAATCTGCTCCAGTTCAAGGCATGTGAGCATGCATGTGTACATATTTTAAAAAAATATATGTTTAACTCAACTGGAAAAAGGCCCAACGTAAGATTGTGATAAAATTTAATCCAGTTCTAATTTGTATGTCAAATTAATCCAAATCCAGTCTGCTCTCCCTAGGAAGACAACCACATGTGGTTAAATAAACCACAATATAAAACGCTCCCTTTCTGAAACCACCTAAGCCTTTGTTTGCACCAACTTGGCCACACAAAAACGGATCATTACTTTCTTGTTTATTTTGCCATTTCTTTCATAAAATCTGGCACCAGCAAAAACTTTACGCCCATGCGAGGGAAAGAGTGTTTTCTGTTTCTTGAATGTCCAAACATGTTGCTGAGAGTTCAATTCATCGTTGCCAGGTTAGAGACCATTATTACACCACCTTCTAAACAAGCTCAAACATGTAACAAAAAATTATTTCAACTGTTCTCCATTCATTACTGTTTTATTCTTCCCACTGTGTTTTTTAGCTTTCCAGTACATTTCTGCAGGAATAGAACCTGTTTGTGAAGAGGAAAATAAATAGGAAACTTCACTCATGCATTATATGGCTCTCCTTTACTGTTGGGGATACAACTATTGCAATTATTTTTTTTTTGTACTTTATTTCTCATCTCACAAACTAACCAATTAGAGAAAGCACCATGGAGGAAAGTACTTATCACATTTTTTGTGTTCACCTTTCATAGGATCTGGGTTTTAAGACAAATCTAGGGTTGTTAATCTGGATCACAATTGTCAGTAATGTAGGCCTTTGCCTAGAGCTAGGTGATAGAATTGAAAAAATGAATAAAAATGTTTAAGATATAATTTTTGGAGAATGTGTTTCTTTTAACTAATCTACTTTCGCTGCCATAGCTTTGATTTTTTTAAATTATTTTTTTAAGATGTGAACTTGTAGCTAATAAACTATTTGTGTAATACTACTAGCCGCAAACATTTAGTATTTTATATTTTCATTTGTTTGTTTGTAAAAGTATTTTAAAAGCATTTTTGACAGCTGGAACTTTTATATTAATGTCACCTTCCAGCAGCAGGGATGTTTTAAAGGAATAGTACACCCAAAACATGATTAGCCTTCATTTTCTACTCACCCCCATGCTGAACAACACTCTGGAGTACTTTTTTGATATCTCAAATGCATCTGGAGATCTGGGAGGCTTCTTGCTGTCTGCTGACATTCAAATAATGGAGGTCCATTGCACCCGAGGCAGAAAGGTCCATAAAAGTCCACAAAAAACGTGTCAATATTCCTCCATACTGCTCATCCAATGTATTCCAAGTGTCCTGAGTGGGTAGCATCCAGAATTTACTCGAAACAAAGTCATTTAGAATGTTTTTAGAGCATAAACAGTAGTGTATAGGATTTCCTAAAAGCGCGTTCACGAGTCTACGGAAACCGCGGCAGACCAAACCAGATGAAAGTGCGCATTCAGCTCAACAAGGAACTCATGCTCTTCCTCAACACTGAAGTCCTCAGACATTTTTCTTTCGTTGTTTCTTTCTTTGCACAGGTAAACAGCACATTTCTTCTACGCTTGCATTATCGGCAGAGCAGACGCTGAATGCGCACTTTCATCTGGTTTGGTCTGCCGCGGTTTCCGTAGACTCGTGAACGCGCTTTTAGGAAATCCTATACACTACTGTTTATGCTCTAAAAACATTCTAAATGACTTCGTTTCGAGTAAATTATGGACGCTACCCACTCAGGACACTTGGAATACATTGCACGAGCAGTATGGAGGAATATTGACACGTTTTTTGTGGACTTTTATGGACCTTTCTGCCTCGGGCGCCATAGACCTCCATTATTTGAATGTCAGCAGACAGCAAGAAGCCTCCCAGATCTCCAGATGCATTTGAGATATCAAAAAAGTACTCCAGAGTGTTGTTCAGCATTAGGGGTGAGTAGAAAATGAAGGCTAATCATGTTTTGGGTGTACTATTCCTTTAAGCTGCATCGCTACCTTGAAAAAGAAGTTTAAAAAAATGCATCTGAAAAAGGATGGAGTTCAGAAATGAACAGTCAGGTTGAGGAAGAGTTGCAGCCTCAGGAGATCCCTCTCATCCAACAACTGGAAAGATCTCCGTTATCGCTAAAATTCAAAGGAATGAACTACATTCCTGTCAGGGTGTCTAATGTGCTTAAAGAGACACTGTCAGTTTTTAATAAAAAATATCTTTAAAATGGCCTCTTTTTTTACCCTTTAAGACGAAAACATTGTTTGATAAGCAGACTGACACCTCAGTAATTAAGCGTAGATCAAACTTTAAGCCTAATATCTTTGAATGTACTTCGGGTGAGAGGTTCCCTCTCCGTTCGACGGGTGTGACGTCAAGCATGTGCATGTTAAACAGATTCAATCTAGCAAACAATCAGAGTATATTCAAGATTAATTTTGTGGATACTCATAAGTGATCAACATTCAGCTTAACTCAGACACCAATGGCAACTCCACATAAAGGGTAAAAAAGTCAATAGAGAAATCTTTCAAGGTACGAGCGTGAGTTACAAGACTGAGCAGAAGAGGACTGCAGTTCTGTGTTTTGACCACAGGCAGCAGTAGCATTAGATAACTCTATAATGTCTCTTTAAAGCTTCTTATTAAAGAATATTTGTGTTATTTTCCAACAAATGGAATCAACAATAACTGGATCACTTGTTTGTACCTGCAGGCAATACCAGGTGGACATCATCACAGGGCCCCCTCCAGCTCCCACATTTGTTCTTCACCGTCCCAGGTTAAGACTCCTTGGTCTATGGCTCTGATGGACAAAACCAAACATGTCAAGCGGCAGAGACTTGACCGCATTTGTGAGGGTAAGGATACATATTTACATATATAGGAAGGAAGGAACTTATATTTAAACCACAAAAATATAATTTATCTTAAACTAGCTAATAGTTCCTAGTTTTTTCATATTAGTCTGTTGCTACTTATAAATCAGGTTGATCAAAGTGACTATACCACTTTCAATTAGAAATATTTAAAATGTGTTATTTGTTGCTTATTTAAAATCTTTTGTTATTTTTTGTTTCCTGTATTGTTTGAATACTTTCTGCCCAGAATGATTTTTTTGCTCTTAGGTTTATGCAATGACATGGATCGATGGTTACTGAGCTCCCCACCCAGTGTCTTTACTTTGATATATTTCCTGCTTTTGCAGTTGCAGTGTTTGTTTTATCCAGGAAAGAAGCTTTATCTAATAGTAAAGGAAACAGAAATGAGTAAGGTTTAATTTCCAGTTGCACAGTGAGGAATGGATGGTGTTTTAAGCTGTTGTATAATGATGATGTGTATAGGACGTAACTGTGCAGAAAAATGAAGGAAGTCCTGTGAGGGAGGGTCCCTAGAGACTGATGAGAGGGAGAGGATAAGGTGAAGGGTTGTGGCCGAGGCTACTGGGAAACGGGCCAGCTGTCTCTTTAAAAAATGACAACAGCCCAAACCGCCCTCGGCCTCTGCTTCAGCTATGCTAATGAGGTTAGTGCTGGTTGGCTGGGTGTGTATGGGGCTGCCTGTGATTGGAGGCTGGTGGTGGGGGAGGGGCTGGGTGTGGATGACAGCTGGGATCCAGTCAGCCTCGAGCAGGCTGGCAGGAGAGAGGGAGGAAAAATAAGAAGAGTAGAGAGAGGAAGACGGTCTGACAGACTCCACAATGCAAGGTTAGGCCCACTACCCATGTGTTCTCTGTTTTTGAACGTGTGTTGTCTATTTTCTAGATTTTGGAGCTTTTTTTGTGTGTGGTGGGGGGGTAAGGTTTGGGTGTGGTGCAGCAACGTGTGCGCGTTCTGTTTCCCTTTCATACTCAGTGTGGGTTGGTGCTGTCGCCGCCGTTGAGAAGGAACTGAATAAGTGTGTCTAGCAGCGTCTGGGTGGAGTACTGCCTCTTGCTGCATTATCATCGTCTGCTGCCCCTCCCCCCCTCCTCTTACTCTAAATACGACCAGGAGGAGGAGGGAGTGGAGGGAAGAAAGGCGAAGGGAGGGAGAATGAATGAATCACTGAATGAATTGTATTGTGTGTTTGGCCATGCTTGTTCTTCGTAGGCCTCGGTCTGCCAGAGTGTCCTTTACTCATATTACTCTCCACTCAGTCTCACTCCATCGTATATTTTTCTAAAGAGCTCTTTGTGACACACAACTTTAAGTTTTTCTGCTTAGCAATCGTCCCTTTGTGTGTTCAGTGTTGTGCAGTTGGCACAGCAGCGTTATTGAGCCATCAGCAGTTAATGTGATCTACAATACATAATGAAGTCCACTAGTATGTACCTCCAGTGACTGTCCTGCCTATAAGCTGGGATCATTTTCGTCGATTCTTTCAGTCTTGTGAGGAAAATAAAATTGGAACACATAGAGGATTAATTTTCAGTATTTTTAATAAATAGTCTCGAACGATTACGGGATTTTTAGGTTGAATTCTTTTTTTTTTTTTTTTAGGATAATGGGATTATTAAACTATTAATTAGCATCTAATTTATAGTTTGATAATATATTCAGCATAAGAGTGCATAATTCTCAACATAAGATAATTGTGGTCTAAACAAAATCTGTTACTATAGCATCATATTTCTCAGACGCTTAAAATATTTCTTTTTAAAATTTGATTTGTCAATATACTACCATAATCTTTAAAATGTGTTTTGTTAATTAGTTAATCCAATCAAATCTTTATTTATATTGCATTCTAAAAAAAAAAACAGGACCAAAAAGCAGAAATACAAACACCCTTAAAGGATTAAAAAAATAATAATTGAAAATAGCATAAAAATTAAGTAAAAACTATATAGAAATTCAGAAAAAAACTTAAAATCCCCCACCAGCATCCTTTAGTGTTATTGAAGACAAGGTCCCCTCAGAGAAAATGCCATGTTGAAAGTACTGATAGCAGTAACTGATGAGCTGACCTAAGAGAACAAAGATACACAAGGATGTAGGAGATCAGAGGTATGTGGTCAAAATGAGAAAAACTGCATTGAGCTGTTTATATGTTGATATAATAAATCAAGATTTAAACATGATAGATTGGAAGAGCAGCAAAATGAACGGACAATCTTTGCGTCTTGATCTAACACTGTGCATCCTCAAAAATGAAGGCTCTATGATGAACAAAAATGTTACCACAGTAATTAAGGTTTGAGATTTTTCCACCTTAAAATAAAAAAATAGATCTTTTGAAGTTTCTCCATATCATGTTTTGTTTTTTTTTTTTTTTTTTTTTTTTTTTTTTTTTTTTTTTTTTTTTTTTTACTTTTAACGGTCTTTGTATGACACCACAAACTAATGACCAAATGTTATAAAATCTTAAAATCCAAATTTTTGTTTTGGAGATCATGAAAATGTTCTATCAGAAACACAAGGTCTCTATATTGTGAGTTATTAATTTAAAAACTAATAGTTAGAACATACACATCATAGGTAAATATGCCAGATTGTAGCCATTGGCTAATTTCCATCTGTAGTCCCTGGACAGGTTGATGTTCCCATTAAGAAACATAAGATGCATGCATTACAAACAGGCCTTACAGAAAGGGTACATTAGGGATCAGTAGATGAAACGGGATGGACTCAGGATGGAGGCAGATGGGAGCAATTACATATTGATGGACTCAATATGTATGGGGTAGTTGTTGCATTTACAGAAATTTGACAACTCTTGCTTTTTTTATATAGAGAGGTAAAATGTATCCTCTCAAAAAAAGCAAGACAACACCGGCATCTTATTAATCTGGATAGAAATCTGGCACCTATTATAAAGAGATAGATTACTTGCCTCAAAACCTCCTAAAAAATAAATTCCCAAAGAGGAACTGCTCTCTGCGTACTAAGTAATAGAAACATCAGCTTAATCATATCTTTTGGGCGTATCATATCATATCATTAGGTTTTTGTTTAGACAATTTAAACTTGACTGTCTTTTGTATTTCTTCTGAAAAAGAAGCTATAGAGTTAGACGCTTCGTTCGTATCATTGTTGATTTAACCCTATGTGATAAAATAAGGTTTCAAATTAGTTTGTTAAAAATTTTAAACTAGGAAGGTGATCATCCTAACCACCCTAACAGAGTTAAAATGATTACATGTCACATTGTCTTTAGTTTATTCTTAACCTCCAGTATCCCCCAAACATTGGCTGAGGTGTTTGAAAATTCCAGGCTGGAAAAGCCTGGATGCCGTGTAATGGAAAATGTTCAGGAAACCCTGAATAGTTGATGTCCAGCCTTGGCTCCCAGCTCCCTGTTCCTCACCAGCAGTCTCGCCACCGCTTCCCGCCTTCTGTCCAAATAAAACCGTTCCAGCAAGCTGCCCTCCAGCTCCCACGAAAAGCACACCTCAGGCAGCGAGGAGATAACATTCACAGAAGATAATCTCATTTGAGACAGAAAACGGAAGGAAGTGTAAAACAAAAACTGATAAGTGACAAGTATTTTTTGCTATAATTTGCATTCATTTGGTTTGGCATTTTTTCTTTGATGGGCAGATTGTTGAGCGACTGTGGATTATATTTGCCGCTACTCTGTGGGTGTGTGTGTGTGTGTGTGTGTGTGTGTGTGTGTGTGTGCGTGTGTGTGTAGAGGGTAGAATTACTGGATGAAGAGACTCTTCCAGACCCAAGATGTAGGTCACAACTGAACCCCCCCATAAAATCGTAAACCCCCCCTTTTCTACCTCCAGACATCAAATACTTCTGCAGCCCCCTCCCCCAGTTGTAGCACAGCATCACCTCTCTGGGTACTGTCAAACCTGGGTCACACTCCTAGAAACGACACTAAACCACACCATTGACCCAAGTCTCATTAATAGATGCAGTGATGGATCCATAAACGCTGCTCCCAAGAAGTTAGTTTCAAAGTATCAAAGGTTTCACATGACTTTGTAACCTAAAGTCACATCCATACATCATAAATGCACTTGTCTATTTTCCTCTGCGCTGTTACGGAAAAAGAGAGGTCACAAATGCTTAGACTAATTTTCTGAGGAGTATTCAGCTATTTTATGCAGGGGGATTTTTGGTTCATCACCTTGAGCGATCCAGACGTGGAAAAATGCCGTCTGACTCACTGACTGTAAGCTGTTTTAGTCATTTTTGGAAAAACAAGTGGTTACAGGCCATCCAGATTAATAAGATGCCGGTGTTGTTTAACAAATTTAGACTTTTAGTTTAACCCACAGCCTCAGAATACTTGAATAGGAAGCTCAAAATATTTAAATGTTTGTTCTTAAAAGCTTCCACATCTTTAGAGGGTCACAAATATTAAAATAAATAAATATAATAAATGAAAAATAAACTCTTAAGTATCAATGTACCCTTATTATTGGAAGTCAAGACAGTTTTATTTTTTTACAGGCACATTTTAATGAATTTTTGAAAGTTAAGAGCAGCATTTACTGGAGTATGTCCATTTTCTGTGAGCATTTTAAACTATCATAGCAGCTCTTGAAATAGAGCTTAAGATCTGTTTGGTTGGTCCCACACGCTGACTCTAATATTTAAGCCTACACACAGATTAAAATAATGTTTATTTCTGCAACACATGGCTTCAAATTGGTTCTTTAATTGGCTAGATAACCTTTTTTAATGTGTATATAAATACTTTTTTGTGTAATATTCTTTTAAAATAAAAAAAATAATAGTTTTAAGGCATTTAGTTTTTAATTCTACATTTTGTTTTTGTAATTGGTCGATCTTAAAGGAAATGTTTATACATGCATTTTATTTCCCATTAAGATATGCTTAGACTTGACAAACTTTATTGTCATTTTGTACACAGGGTGTATACAAAACAAAATTTCGTTTTGTATACACCCTGGGTTTTTTTTTAAATGGTTTGATCCGTTAAAATCCAAACCACTGATTTTAGAGTTAAAGTTTTTGAGCACAGTTGACTTATCTGAATGGATTTTTTTCACCGTTTGACTCAGGTATCCGACCCCCCATCCTGAATGGGCCGATGCACCCACGGCCCCTGGTGGCCCTCCTAGATGGGCGCGACTGCACAGTGGAAATGCCCATCCTCAAAGACGTGGCGACCGTGGCTTTCTGTGACGCTCAGTCTACACAGGAGATCCATGAGAAGGTAGAAAAGAATGTGTTGTGGAAATCTGTGGTTTATGAACAGAAAACATTGACTGCTTTTCCTAAAATAATGATTTTTCTGAACAAGCATGTGCTGATCATTTAAGAACAATCTGCTTTTTGCAGGTGTTAAATGAAGCCGTGGCGGCTCTGCTATATCACACTATAACTTTATCCAGAGATGACTTGGAAAAGTTTAAAGGACTACGAGTTATTGTCAGGATCGGCTCCGGATTTGACAATGTTGACGTCAAAGCAGCGGCTGAGCTTGGTGAGATGACGATGTTTACAGATTATCTTAGACAAATTAAAGTTTTAGCCACAAGCGCCTCATTTCTCCTGTTTGCTCTCATCCAGGCATCGCTGTCTGTAACGTACCAGCAGCCTCTGTGGAAGAGACGGCCGACACTTCGCTATGTCTGATCCTTAACCTGTACAGGCGGGTCACCTGGATGCACCAAGCCCTCAGGGAGGGGACTCGTGCTTCTAGCGTGGAGCAGATAAGGGAGGTGGCCGGAGGCGCCGCTCGTATCAGAGGTGAAACGTTGGGCATCATCGGTCTTGGTAAGTTGAGATGGATCTTAAAGCTCATTCAAGATCAAATTAAACACAACTTGCAAACAATTTTTAGATGATATTTTTTCAAAACCTCAACATCTTCTGATCTTAGGTCGTGTTGGCCAGGCTGTGGCCCTGCGAGCCAAGGCGTTTGGGTTTAGCATAATCTTTTATGACCCTTACCTGCCTGATGGTGTGGAGCGCTCGTTGGGCCTCCAGCGAATGGCCACGCTGCAGGACCTGCTCATACACTCAGACTGTGTGTCTTTGCACTGCAGCCTCAACGAGCACAACCACCACCTCATTAACGACTTCACCATCAAACAGGTTGGTGGATGCAAAGCCCGTCCATAATCATTCATGTTTCTTATCCTCAATTACATTTGAAGCATCTCAAGTCATTAGCTGTTTTTTCAATGAAATGGTAAAGTGGGACCTCCTCAAATAGCAGCTCTGAGGTCTGTTTAAAAACTGTTAGCTTCATTTTTTATTTTTTGGGTTAGTTTAACTCCAGGAACTTCAACTTGTGAAAAATCTTTGCTTTTTTTAATAAAAAATAAAATAGCTAGATGTCTACTTCCATAGTCTAATGCTTGTATTGATATTTAAGTACTGTTAATCTTTGCTATCTTTTCCTTTTTGGATTTCTGTCTTTTTTTCAGTCTTTTGTTTGGCATTTTATGAAGATGTATTTTGTATAAAGTATTATTAATCTCTATTATCTAGTGTATACCTAACATATGAATTCATATAAAACTAGATATTCCTGAGTTGTTGCCATATAAGTTGATTAGTGTAAACTTTTGTTTTACTGCATGTAAACCAAAGTGTGCATCATAAAGCAGTGATATTTGTGTTTACAAGGAGAAAATAAATAAATTCAGTCCTGTTTGCCAGTCCCCCAAACCGCTTTAAGCAGTTTGACTGGATGATAGTGTTACATAGTGACTACCTCATTCACTATTCAGCAGTTCACCTCTCTTTTTTTTTTTTTTTTAGCCATTATATAATTAAACTGATTTTGTGGTTTTTTTGCTGCCTTTATGGACATTTTTGCTGTAGGATGTTTGATTATACTGTTTTTCTTCCAGATGCGCCAAGGAGCTTTTCTGGTGAACACATCAAGAGGGGGACTGGTGGATGAGAAAGCTCTGGCTCAGGCCTTGAAGGAGGGCCGGATACGTGGAGCCGCCCTGGACGTACATGAGACAGAACCCTTCAGGTAAGAGTGATATATGCCAGAGTTACTTCGTATCTGCACCGATCAGTCGCTAATAACCTTCCTCCTTCTGAAGTTTTTCAACGGGCCCCTTGAAGGATGCCCCCAACTTGATCTGTACCCCTCACACATCTTGGTACAGTGAGCAGGCTTCAGTTGAGGCTCGTGAAGAGGCAGCCAGAGAGGTTCGCCGGGCCATCACCGGTGAGTTAAATCCACCCGTAGGATCTAAAGAATGCTTTATTTATTATTTTGACATCGCTCTAACCCATCTCTGATATGTGCTGTATTTTTTTTTTCAATTTCTTTTTTCCCCTCTCCGCCATTTACATAAAGTGACACCTTGGTAACAAACATTACATAAGTCTCAATGTAAGCAAAAAGAAATATTCAACACATCTATTAATGACCATATTCACAATGGATGCAAGTGCAGGAAGCAACATGCACTTCACATGACCTTAAGGCATGGCTGCCAAATTATGGCGAGTGGAAGCTGCTGTTTCAATGCTGACCAAGCACAGGAGAGGGCGCAGTTGGCCCTCACGCTGCTGCCTCAGCGACTCAGTGGGTTTTTGCCTGTGTGTCCAATGAAATGGGTGGCAGTGTTGTTTAATGAGCGGTGGTGGAGGCTGCGTACATTAAAACTCTGTCAACTCTGACCGTTTCTTACTTCACGTATACGCCATCAGGTTTTTTATGCTTTCAATCAGCACTGGAACCGACCACATCTCACTGTGGATTTTGATTAACCATTTACAATATCTAAACACCATATATATATATAATAAATCGGTCTCTCCGCTCCTTCGTTTTTCAACTGCCGTTACTCCGGCAACCACACAGTTGTCTTCATTTTGATGTCTAGACTTCAAAGTAAAAGCATGCAGGAGGTGCCGTAAACATTAGAGTTCTGCATCTTTGTAAGTTTTGCTCATCTGAAGCCCTCTGACACTTCTAATAGTATAGCCTGATGTAGAGCTTCATGGCCATGCCAAGTATAGCTGATTTCAAAGTGCTCTAATTAATACAGATTAGGTTCTAAGAGCAGCCATTTCCAGTAATAAATTACTGATTCTTCAAGTAGAAATATTGTCATTAAACTAATGTTCTTCCAAAAATCAGCCATAAATATCAGCTGACGGACATATCTATTGCTAGTAATCCAGTTTACTTCAGTGTTGTTGGAATAGTACCTTTTTTAATGTGCATTTTGGAGAATCACATTAGAAAAGCCTGATGGGGAAATTTAAACTTTCAGAAATGTGCAAAAAATGCTTGAGGTGTTTTTCAATTAATGTACACAACCGGAGATGGAAATGCTTTTGTCTAATCAGCTCTGATCTAGCAACTCGAGTTTATCTGCTGTCGGCATGACCCCAGATCTTCCCATTATGCTCATAAACATGGCCCGAAGCAACATCAACGTTACTAGCTGACAGTTTAACCTAAGAACAACTTGTCCGAAAGCAACACATTCATTAATACTTTCCTCCATCACTGATCTGTGGTCAGTGCTAGATTGCAGCTATGGGTGACGACTTAACTTGGATGACGATGCTATACTTTAGCCCACTTGGTTATAAACCCAATGGAAACGTCACATTCACATTTCCTTTTTTTTTCACACCTGAATATCCCATTTCAGTATTTCCGCTCTGGTAAGACACACCTTGAGTCAAACATTTTAATAATTGCTCTAAACTCTCCTCTCTTCTGTCTGGATCATGCCCTTGAATTGGTGGATTGTTACTGCATTTGTGCTGTCGATCCTCCCTTATCGGATCTTATGTTTGCACCGTTTCCTGGTGTTACAGGTTGAGTGTTGAACCCGATGACCCTAATAGCTGACATTCTTGGTATTCCAATATGTTCTCTGCCAAGTTACTAATGTTTCCAGTCGCAGCAACACAGAGACTCCCAGCTGTTAGCTAACAGATTATTATGCTACCTAGCAACCTCTGTCTAGAGTGATGGTTTGTGTTGCAGCTCTTTGCAACCCTCTTTAGCACTTCTAGTGTCAGACGATACAAAGATTTACTGGTAAAGCCTTAGGCCTATAAGCTGTTGTATGATAGTATTTCAATTCATACAAAAGGTAAATTACGACACGTGTTAAGCAATGAACTGGTAAACCACCCATGATTGTTATAATATACATGTCAGTATGGTGCCAATTCTGTAATCAGTTGTCAGAAATGCTTAATTTTGCAACATTAAAATGAAAAAGGATCGTTTAAAATGTTTCTTTTTAGTGTTGCTGTAATTTTAGTAGTAAGTAGGGTTGGGCAATTAATTGCTTTTGCCATATAATTGCAACTTAAGAAAATCGCAGAGGAACTCCATTTTGGTCGCATCACTTTTATTAAAGACTAAGAGACATCTTTTTTCTTACTCCAGAACTTTTAAGTGGCGGTGATATGTTTGAAGTGGGTTTGCTTCTTGGGAGAAAGGAAATAAACTTTCTGCTAGCATGCAGATCAGTGTTTAGAAGTAGAATTATCACCTTTCTGGTTACAGTAAAATCCTGCAACAATTGACTCTGGACAAACAAGCTTTAAAGCAAATGAAAAAACTGAAACCCCGGAGTAAAACATTTAAAGGCTTGTGGTTAGTGCAAAGATAATTCAAAATAAAATCGCAATATTAGTTGAAAATAATGGCAATTTAGATTTTTTATGTAATCATTCAACCTTAGTAATAACCCCACATTTTCCCTCCACTTTCCATGGAGCTTGTTCATTAAATTCTGTTTTAAATTATCAGCAATAATGATAGTATGATGAGTGAATATATGGCATTCATGAATTCTATCCTACTGGTAAACTACATTCCATAAAAAAGATATTTGATTGCAGTGACTCTATGGATTGCCGTTAACCTGCCGGCCTTGGAATTTTGTTTTTTTGTCTGAATGTCTTTATCACTCTACTACGAACTGTAGCATCTCGACCATTAATCGTAGGCAAAAGGAAAGAAAGTCCAAACAATAATACACATTCCAATAGAGAGGCACTGAATTAGATTTTTTTAATTGTGCCTCTGCAGTTTTCCCTCAGTCACAGTTTTGCACATTTAGAGATAATTTTTGCTCACAGCAAGACAAACTATCACTGAAGGAAAACTGGGATAACCTGAGATTTCATTTATCACTCTAGTTTATTTGCAGAATGTTAAGGTAACTTAATGCCTTGATCATAGAATTATAATAATCAGTAATACAGTTTTCCAACACATTTTTTTTATTTTTTAAACAAACTATTTTGGAGTCGGTATTAAAGAGTATATTGTTGTTCTTTCATGCAAAGAGACGACTGCATATATGTTGTATATGGAGGAGATTGACTGTAGTTTTCTTTGTTTCTTCTTCTCTAAAGATCTACAGATTTCCTATTGTCTTAAAGTCTGCAGAGGTCTGGAATTATTTTTTTTCCAGGTCTTGATAGATTTAGGAAATAAAAAATGTTTGAGACTGAACTTTCATGCAACAGAAAACTTTGAGATCGCACAATAACAGCCAGATTTCTACAACAAAAGTTGTTCTGTGAGGAAATGTAAAATGGATTCCGATGTTTACGTCGTGATTTGCCATAATTTTAGGTTCGGTTTTCCCCAAAGAAGATTTTCACTTCCTTGTCTGGTGACTCCAGACCTGCCTGTCTAATTGGTCTGAGCGGTTACAGTCGTGAGCTGATGGCGGTCGTACAGTTAGAGGAGCAGTCGCAGAGAAATCGAAGAAGACGCCTCCTATTTTAGTAACTCTTTAGTAACGGATCAGCAGCCTTAAACAAAATGTTTTGTATAATTGATGTCTGTAATGTTTAGAAAAAAAACCCTAAAATTGTGAATGATTTGTTTTGTTTTTTTGCAGGTCGTATCCCAGACAGCCTGAAGAACTGTGTCAATAAGGAGTATCTGATGGCTGCCTCCCAGTGGCCCACCATGGAGGCAGCTCCCGTTCACCCAGAGCTGAATGGAGCCGCCTACAGGTGAGAAGAGCAAACGGCGACTGAGAGGACATGAGGCTCTGTCAGGAGGCTGAAAAGAAGATGTTCTGGTTCTGTTTCAGATTTCCTCCAGGTCTGATCAACGTGGCAGCAGCAGCAGCAGCGGGGGGCCTCCCAGGAGCAGAGAGCCTGGTTTCAGGACCCCTGGCACATGGCATTGCCCCCGTCTCCCACCCCCCTCATGCCCCGTCCCCAGGGCAGCCCACTAAGGCTGAAGCCGACAGAGACATCCCCTCCGACCAATAGCCCCCTCTGCCAGCTCTGGCACATTCCGTCATCTCTGGAAACCGAACCCCCCACCCCCCCTGGCCCCTCCTCTGCCTCGCTCCTTCAGGATCAGACACCAACCTACCCTGTGGTGCACAGGAAGCACCAGTCTGACCCATCTTGGATCTACAGTCATTCATCTGATCAGACAACTTTCCCAGGAACGACCCATCCTCATCAGACCCACATCCTTCCATCCTCATCCCACCGATCACCCATCCAACCGCCAGACCCCCCCCAACAATGTCAGCAATAACTCTGTTCTCAAGGATTCAATTATTGGATTGGTTTTACTTCCTTAGCTGGCTGTTGTGTTAATGAAAAGTTGATCTATTGTGGTTCTAGGTGTTGCCGTTTTGTTGAGAAGAATTAGCTTTTCCGACACGAGGCTTTAGGCTGCTGCCTCCAGCAGAAACAGGACATTCAAAGCTCCACTTTGTACATTGATGGCTCGTGTTACTACTCTCTTTTTCTGTTGTTGTTGTTTTATTTTTGTTTTCCTTCCCCCTCTCTCTGCCCGTGTTGTGACTGGGGGAAACCGCTTCTTAAGGTAAACTGAGCAGAACCTAGCTGCCCTCTAGCCCTCCATCCCTTAAACCTCTGTGGTGCTGTTGTTGCTCAGCAGAGGGGTTTCTAATGCAGTCTGTGTGGAGCTCTCTTAACTGTGAAACTCTGTAGCTTAAACCATTTAAAGAGTAACCCTCCCCAATTATCACCTTGTTTCTGTATTTTCAGCATTTCTCCCTTTATTTCCTCCAAGATTTCTGGCAAGCAGCTAAAGAGAAACTCATTTGTACCCCAACGCCAGCAGAGGGCGCTCTCTATCCGGCCTCCTAACAGATCAAAGATATTTGCTCCATCACTTGAACTTAGTATTAAACCTTTAGAAATGAACTAAAATTAAATTTGATAGGACTTCACAACCACCCTACACATCCTCATCATCCTCTCGCATCATAGCCCCCCCCAGCATCCGTGCACATAAAACCAGTATGCATCCACCAGTTCCTTCAGACGGGACAGGACCGTACGGATTCGATTCCCTGCAGGAGCAAATGGCAGCCAGCGTTCCTGCATGCTTGCATCTTAAAGACAGTGGTGTGTGTGTGTGCGTTTCAGTGTGTGTGTGTGTGTTTGCTCCCCTCGCTCTGTCGCCCGTTCCAAAGGAGTCGTCCCGTAAAGTTAACTCTTAAAACGCTGTTGCCCTGATTCTAAGGGAACACCTTTCTAGTACCTCATTAACAGATATTGAATGTACCGTGCTACCCTTTTTTTTTTTTTTGTGTACAGATTTTCTAGATGAAATTGTAGCAGTCATGATAAAATTGAAAGAAAAAAAAAAAGAGGAAGCCCAGTTGAAATAAATTTGAGATGAACTCCTCAGGCGTCGAAATCAAACTCATCTGTTTGCCTTTCTCACTCAGTTTAGCACAATTTTCAGACTTTAGGCTGTAAAATGATTTTAATTTTTAAGCATTAGCCAAGGAAGTGAAAGAAGTTGGACTAGGACAGTGGTAGTACATGCTTACATTGAACCCCCTCTCTCATTAAGCTGCTGTCTATAGTGCATGTGCATTAATTTTTGAGGGGAAATGAGACCCTCAGCCCCCCTCTCCTCCCTCTCTCTCTCTCTGTGTCTCCATCAAAGTGTTTTTTTTTTCCTTTTCTTTCAGTCGTAGACAGTTTCCAGTGATGTACAGTTTGTCCCCTCAGAGTCTATGAGCGACAGATGGCTCCTTTGTCATGTGATAAGTATATATTTTTAAAGAAAAAAAAATAACCCCATAGTTTGGATTATACTCTTGAAATGTCCTGTTGATGATATATATTTCCCAGTCCAGCGCTAAACCGTTTGGTTTTTAACAGGTCTGCTCTCTGTGTTCAACATGTTGTACTGAAACATTTCAGAGAGAATGAGATCCCTGCCTGTTTCCCCTCCTCCTATATTGTTTTTTTCTTTCTTAAAATCTGTCGTTTCTGGCTGATATCCTGTGGGCCTTATTTGTTCTCCCCCTGTTACAGTAGCTGGTATAGAAAGTTGCCATTGGAGCCACTCACTGCCTTAATACAGTTGACCACAGCAGGTGAAGCCAGGAGACAACAGGTCTCTGAATAAAACTCCTCGCTCCCCATACAGGTCTGAATTTACAGCACCACTTATTTCCTGTTCCGGTAAAGAACCACGTTTAGCCTTGTTGAAGCTGCTCATTCTGCAGCCAAAGAAACCCAGCGTAAGCTCCGAAGTCTCCTTTAGGTGACTCACATTTTTTCCTGTTTTGTTTAAAGCAGATCCAGCCAGCTCTTTCTCTCATAGTGCAGCGGCTGACGTTTAACTCTTGGGTGTGAGACCGCACTGCCACCTTCACCCACTGCGCTCGGTAGGGACAGTGCAGCGGACACTGGCGTGGTTTCAGTGAGAGTTGGTCACTTCTCTCTCAGGGTTCAAATGCACACATATCCTCCAGCAGTCGGCCTGCGTGTCCTTGTCCCTCACCTCGAGGTTTTCCTCCCTCAGACTGTTGACCCGACCTCTTGCGTCCTTGCTGACCTCTAGATCCTCGTTCTGTGCACAGATCGGAACCGTTTGGTTTTTGTTTGTTTTTGTTTTATACTTTTTAGCACTGACATCTAACCATCTAACCAGGAATGAATGAATGCTTGAAAGTGACTGTGTGATGTTGAAATTGGGAAATGTATTTTTACAACATGTGAACATGTTTCTTTTTTTCCCCCCTCCTCCAATCACTCTCATTGTGAATTATTTTATTTCTTTTCTTTCACCAGACTGCAAAAACAAAAACGCCAGAAAAAAAAATCTGTAACTAGGCTCTTAAGCTTTATTTTTTTTTTGTTTACTTTTTTATTAGAAACAATCATGTTTGTGATGGTAACCTCCAATGGTAAACACAACACCGTATTTTAATAAAATCCTAAAAAATAAAAACTTTGCGTGTTTATTTTTGCCGCCAGTCGTGTTTATGTCACTGAACCTTTAAACTCTTTCTATTCAGCCTTTTAAAGCTGCGTCCTGTTGCCTGAGCGTTGGTGGTTAGTGTTGCAGACTGTTCTTGTGCCGTCTGTGAGGACGTGAAGCTGTGTTTAGCAAACTTTTGCCACAAACAAAATTGTTTACCGCAGCTTGGCAGCTCTTTATATGGAGCAACGTAGTGCCAGGATGACTGTGTGGGTCCCGAGGGCTAAAAGGGGGTGGTGGCGGTGGGGGGATTATGGGCTTTGAAATTGCTTCCACATGCACATATCCAGGAGACCTCTCTTAAACACAGTCAGTAATGCATTGTTGGTATTTATTCAGTGATTTCCAGGGATTATTTAACCTCAGTCATTGACACTAAGGCAATTCTTAGTACCTCGCAAAACAACCCTTGGACCTCTCGGGTTACAACCACAAACGTAAAAGTATTTTATTAGAATTTTCTATGATTTAGCAACAATAAATTTGTCCATAATTGCAAAATGGAGGTAAAAGGATATGCTGCCTTCATTTTATTTTATTTCAACACTACATTTAAAAAATAAAAAGCTGTGTTTGAAATTAGCCTATTTTAACCTAATCCCCCAGTCACTGGAATGGCACAGCAGACCGTCTACTGAGACTGTCAACATAAAACTTTTGGTCAGACTAGAAGTGCAGAAAGGAGCTGTTCAGGCATGAAGGAATTGTACTGATCTTTTGCTCATGAGAAATATGTTTTATTTATCTTTTTCTTCCAGGTTACTTGTCCCTGAAAAATAAAAAGCATCTTAATCAAACCTAAATTAAAGTCCGAATGTTGCCTGGATCGGAGCATAATCTTTATCTTCCATAAAAGTTTAAAAAACAATCCACTGGACTTGGTTTCCAAAGGTTTGAACCTTTGGAAACCAAGTCCAGTGGATTGTTTTTTAAACTTTTTGGGATTGACTATGACTTTAATGACTGAGAATCTTCATCAGCAATCTGATTATACTATAATCTAAACCAGGGATCCAAACCAGTCCCCAGAAAGATTTTGGATTTATCCCAGGTCAAATCAAGCTGAATGAAGTGGATGAATTACCTCCTTACAATGTATCTTAGTTTGATTTTATTCATGTTTGTTGAAGCAGGTGTGCATCTATAAATACCTTGATATTGAGGGTCTTGTTATTTTAAACCATTTTCCTTCTGGCTGTATATTTACGATTGTTTCCTTGGGTAAACCTTAACCCTGTTCTTGCATCTGCAGCCTTAACCCTGTAATGCCAAATGTATCATATTTAATACATAGGGTTTCTGAAATGTTTTGCGTCTGACACCTTTTGCATAATTTCATGGTAATAACTTTGCTTAAAATCCTATTGTACACAACCAGATATACCTGATAACAGAGGGCAGAAGACTACACAAAAAATAATCTTGACTTATCGCATAGTAATAAATTATTAATATCGAAAATGTATTTCTGTTTTTTTCTTTTGACATATTTTGTTAAAAGGCCAAATAAGGACTTCAAACCAAAAAAAAGTAATTTTCTCTTTTGTTTTATTCTTGGATCGGGCTTTAAAGAGTTAAACATGTTTTCCTTCTAGTAGTTCCCATTACGTCTGATGCCCGATCCTTCAAAAATAAAAGCTTTCCCTCAGCATCATGGTGCCAGCACCATGTTTCATGAAGACTGTTTAGGGTGAAGGGGGTTTTTAGTTAAACATCACATTTAGACCAGAGAATTTTTAACATATTTATTGCAAACTGCAAATTTATGTTGAATGTTGTAGATTTAGGCTGATTATGCTGCAGCACATGAAGAGAGGTCAGCTGATTTAACATGATCAGTCCAGCCATTGTTGAAAAAGTTGGTTCTAAAGTACAGTGATGGTTTGACCCGACTATAATGGAGTAGTCTCTGTTTTCGTTGAGGCTGGGGGCAGGCTTATTGCACAATCAACTGTTTGTCCACTTCTGAGAAGTGGTATGAGGCCCAGGATGATAGCTGTGTTTTTACTGGACGTGACTCACACTTCAAACACACTTCAGCCAACTGCTTCTTCAACCTGACGTGGTTGAGTTCGTCGTGTCTGTCAGCTTCCATGCTGCGTCACCAGATTTTGTTTTGCTTGTACGTTCAGTCCAGGGGGAGACACTGGGGCCTCAGCAGTTCTGGGAGAACACAGTCAAACCAGTAAAACGTCAGCGCCGGTTCTCACAGCTTCTGAGTCCGTAAATTCAGTTAAGTGCTCCTGTAAAATGGGTCAGTGTGCAGTAAGTTTGGTGAAAAACAAGGCGCCGGTTTCTTCTGCTGGTTTCCAGATGTTTTCCTCTTTGGCGTTTTATTTGTTTAAAAATGTTCAGTATTTTTCAGGACATCTTAAGCAACAACTGAACGATAAAGTTCTACCAAATTCAGTCAAAGACCTTTTCAATGTTTTTTTTTTTTCTTCCCCTCCTAATATTTCTTCCATGTGTTTGAAGCAAATTATTTTCCACCACAAGTTTCAGTTTCCAGATTTTCTCTTTAAGGCTGGCATGAGAAAGTCAACAAAAAATAACATTTTTGAGATTTAACGGGGACAGCTTGATGGACCGGGCTCTGTGTGTGTGTATGTGCTAGTGTACGGCGTGCTTGTGCATACTTGCCAGTGTGATGGATTGGTCTCCAGACAGACAAAGTATCCCACTTAGAGGGATCGTACTACCAACCCAAAGGCTGCGGGATAAATATTTATCTTGGGTTTTATCTGGAATGATTGAATATTATTGCAGGCCATAAATGACTTAGATGCTGCATGCCGTTCAGACTGTACCAGCTTGGTTTTTAATCTTAATATAACCCTAACGTGTTGATTTTGTAACATTATTTCAGCTTTTAATTGGTAATCAATGCTAGGCTGATTGGGGTTGCATGTGTGGGCTGGGATAGAACATTTCCTCTTGCTATGGAGTCTATTTGAAAGCACAGTATTTTCCTGGCTATTGGATTTAACCTGGTTTTCATCATGGTGTTTACACCAGTAACCTGGTGATTCACATCTTTGTTTAAATGATTGGACCTGTATTTAGCTATCTGACCATCTGTGGCTGTTCTTCTGTGATCTGGGCCATGTTGATGCTTAAGAGCATCTTAAACACTGCGAGGCGACGATATTTTTATTTCACCGCATTCAATTTGTTAAAATTAACTGTAGATTAAAAAAAAGAGGAAAAAATAGGGATCTGCACTCTACTTTGTAGCTCATGATCCGTTTAGGAGTAAATTAGTTTCTTCTTGGTCTAGCACCAACTTTCTCCAGATCACTTGATTTTACCAATTTGTTTTTAAAACTTACTTTACCAATTTTCTATTATTTGAAACATAAACCTCATATTCCATCAATGTTCCCAAATATATTTAGGTTCATAAGGTTTAAAGGTATAGTGGAGAATGTTCTTTTTCCAGGTGGATCGTCAAAATAAGTTGTCCTCGTAATTGTCAATCATTCTGGTGATATGTTTACGTAAGGCCGTCCTATGTGCCTGTCCCCATTTTCCCTTATCAGTGGTGAGTCTGACATAGTGGAAAAATTCCAAATCATCTTTTGGAAAGTAAGCTTGTATGAGTGATACAAACGGCAACTTTTAAACAGCCTGCACGAGGAGTAATGGGCTCGTGCATGCGTTTAATAGATGTTCCCTCTCGGTAGCGGGTAAAGGATTGTGCATGTGCATTTTTTTTTTTTTTAAGTGGAGAGGACAGGTCTTTTTTTGTTTGTTTTTTACCACTGTCACACTTCAATATTTATTCACATTACAACCACAGACTTGTGTTTCTTATGGGATTTTATTTAGCAGAAAAACAAAACACTGAGGTTGATTTTGGGGGGTAAAGGAAATGGTTTTCAAAATGAAAAAAAAAAAAAAAATATATGAATTTATAAAACAACAGCTGCCTTCAACCCCTCTCCTCTGATCCCCCTAAATAACATCCATTGCAACCACCTGCCTTCATAGGTAATATAAACCGGTGTTTCCCAACCTTTTTTTACTTGTGTACCTCTTTGGGCATTTTTTTTTATCATGAGTACCCCTCTGTCAAAAGTATTAATGATTGTCCAAAAGTGGAAGATACAATAACTGATTATAAAATAAAAACTATTTTACTTAATCTTTTAATTTGCGCCTTTAATTCTGAGGCATTTTATTCTTTCCATCTCATATAAAAAACAGCATAAATGTGTTGCCTTGATAGTAAGGAATTGAAATAAATACAAAATAAAACAATATTTTAAACTTGATGAAACTGGAGCTCCTCTGAGTAACTTGCTTATAATCACATTTAAACTTAACAGAACAAAAATTATAGACAGACTGACTTGCTTTGTTTTACTTTGTTTTCATCAAGACACCTTGGATGCTTTGATTATCTCCGATAGCTCAGTGTGAAAAACGGCTGATACCAGGATGTTCTCTACATCCAGTCTGTTCCTCTGCTTGGTTTAGATGTGCCACAGCTGCAGCTGCAGTCCGATAAAAACGTGTTTAATTTCTTTTTATTGGATCCTCACAAAAAAAATAAATAAAATAAAAAATCCCAGCCCTATTTAGTTTATTTTACCTAAGAAATAAGCTATTTTCATGTACCCCTTGCAATGCACTTGTGGACCACTAGGGATACGAGTGCCCCAGGTTGGGAATCACTGATTGAAGCAATAAAGTCAATACATTTAGAGTTGAGCTCATTCTGCATTGCGAAGGCTTTAGGGTTTTGTTAACAAACGTCAAAAGTTCCAAGGAGCACAGCAAACTTGTAAACAGCAAATGCTGCAAAATAACAGCAAATGTTATTTTACTCTAGAAGGTTAACATCCTCCTCTAAATCTGAAAGATGAGGGAGCTTGATGCATTTCTAATGCTATTTTTCCCCCTCTGTCTGCTGGAAGCTTTTTTTATGATTAGCTCATGGCTTCCCCTTTTCTGACTTCACTCACCAGAATAAAGCTGATGTGTGCATGTGATTGACCGATGAGGATGAGAGGAAAACTTCCACTTATCATGGAGTTTTTGCGTCAGCCTGCTTGATCTGCTGCTGTATCTGGTGTCCTAATGCTAATCTCTCATGTGTGTTACATTAATTAAAGCCAACGTCATCTCCAGTTTGCAGAAACCAGTATCCTTTTTTTTTTTTTATATCTGCCACTCTGAGCTTAGGTGATTTTGCACAAACCTGACGGATGTAAAAATGTGGTTTTAAACAAATATGAGTCTGCCTGCATGCTAAGCTCATTGTCATTAATCAGCAAGTGGAAGCAAGGGAGTTTTCCTCCACAGCGGGAGAACAGATGACAGAAGGATGCAGAAGCACTGAATGCAAATCAAAAAGATGGATCAAGTCGGAAATGAAGGAAGAAACAGATGGAGAAATGTATCTGTTTAGCTGCCTCCTTTCAACTCTAAGACATACAATCTAAATGGTTACATGATACTCATGGGTCTGCTTTTCCTTCTTCCTCCTCCTCCTCATCAGCTGCTGATTCCTGGATGGTTTACAGGGAAGCCAAATGAGCCAGAAACTGATCAGGGGTCTGGTTGTTTCGTAGTAGCGTGCAAATCACTTAAATAAGCCGGCGTTATGTGTTTTGCTTTCCTATGGCTGGGCATTTTGGTCATTTTTACATTTTCTTATGTTTTTTTTTTGTTAAACAGCATTCATCCTTTGCAGCTGTTCCTCTTTTTTTGTCTTTAGAATTTGATTATGCTGAAAATGTCAGTGCAAAACAGGGATGTACATTTAAATGTAGTTTTATTCATTATGGGGAGGAAGTGACTTTCTTTTAATTTTGTCAGACAGGAGGAAACAAAAAAACCTAACAAGCTGGCACCCTTCTCAGGCATTGGAAAGTCCTCCTTGATGACCGCTCTATGATTTACCTCTGTGACAATTTACTATTTTTGTCAATTTAACTCAAAAACGCTATTTTGGCTTCATTCTAGTTGTAACTTTGTGCTCCGGGCTTTCTTCAATGTTGTGATCAGCAAGGCCATCAATAGCTTAATTTACATTAACGATCCATTTCTGCATATTGTAATTATGAAAATAAATTCACTATAAGGAAGAAAAAAAACGCAACATTTTTATGCCTTGAGGAGGTGTTTTCAGTTCTATCTAAAATATATTTAGCAAAACTGCAAAGGAAATATTATTTTTTTTTATCACGCAAGTCAAGTGATCTGCAGCTGAACCTTCCTGCCTTTAAAAACAGAGATGAAGAACATTATGTCTATGGTAGTTGGAAGCCCATTAGAGCTTTTCATTCAATCCGCAGCTGCCTTGTTTTCGAGTTATAGCGAAAACAAAAGTATTCAAGTGCAGTTAGTTATTTAATGGAAATATAGCATTTATCAAAGTTAGCTTTTTCAAATTTGAAAATCTCCTGTGGCAGGTCCTGTAGGAGGCTGTAAACCAGTTGTTAAAGACATCTTTTGCATTGAAACGTCACTTCAAGCTAACCATTAAATTGAATTCTATGTTTATTCTACATTAAAAAACAAGAAAGACAGTCTGCCCATATATTGTGTTCCAATGAAGAAAACAATACATTTTCTGTTTTAAGAATAATGGGTTTTGCCTCTGCATCATCATCTATATTTGGTCATGGTTTTGTTTAAGAGGCGAGTAAATCCAAATCTTTTTCAGGTCAGAAAAAGGCCTAATGTAGATTCATACTTTTAAGGTTTCAAAAATCTTGTTTTTGTAAGCTAGGAGTGCAGGGGGGTCAGTTGGTACCGGGTGCATGCTGCAGCCTTCCAGTTCATAATATTGCACATTTTACTGTTCTTGCTCATCATAAACTTGCAATCAAGGCCAAAGATTCAAGGTACAATTTACGGGGCAGACTGGTTCAGTCTCTGCATCTTTACAAAAATTAATATCTTTAACCTTTCAATCATTTTATGCCAGGGTTATTGTGTATAAGGAGTAGCAAGCTGGCCATAGATAAGGTCCTTCAGCATTTTAAGAAAGTGCAGAAAACTATAAACAACCTTTAAATTAGCTTGAAAAAGTTCAGTCTAGGCAACTGGAGGTGAAGTTTGCCTAGACTGACCTTTTTCAAGCTTGACCATAACCTGGATGACTGAGAATCTTCACAGATATCCTTAAAATTAATTATCTCTGATTTCTGACACCTGTTAAAGTTTATTATTCCTGTTGTTGGTGGTTTATCTTCTATATGCTACCAACAGATGAAGAAATTAGGCCAATTTTACTACAGAATAAACATTTAAAACCACCTCCAGACTTGTATTTGTGCTTTTCTTACTTATAAATTAAAGCCAACCGAGGATGGCAATCTTCAGCCTACAGGAAAAAAAAATAAATTAAACCGTCCTGACAATCGCACCGCTGTGCTGCCCACTTCCCTTCATGATCAAAATTAATTAATTGGTTCATAGCACCCCTTCCATTTTCTGACAATTATCTGTTAAGTTTAGTCAAATAAACAATTAAGGAGTGATTAAAACCAAGCAAAGGAAATCAGAGTTCTCTAATTGTCTGAGAAGAGATCAGAGAGCAGTTATCCTTTTTACACATTCCTGATTAAAATGTTAATGCTTTCAGATGGCTTTTAATTCCACATATTGTGCAAATAATGGTTCAAATGGTACAAATAATTAAGAGTAAGATGGATACAGTGTGTTGGCATAAAGATCACTTTTTTGTTCCTTTAGAGCCATCAGAGAAATGACACAATAGAAATATAAAATCCAGCTCCCCAAATCTGAAAGCTTTGTTACTCCAACATTTCAACATGTTCTCATAACAGAAACCTCCCTGCTAGTCCATGTGGGTTCCAGAAGAGAGAAGAGAGAGATGACCAATCGTTCTCTTCTTTTTTTTCTGTCAGACACAGTTTTACACCCTCTAACTTGGGGAAATCAAGTTCCTCTGTTTAGACCACAGCTGGCTCTGTGGGGAGATGGGGATGCTTATAATGGAGGGTTTAAAAAAATGCAAGCTTTTGATTCCTTTCTTTTTTTTTTTAAATCAACATGAAATTATCTGCAGAAATCAAAGCCAGTGATTTGTCCAGACTCGTATTTGTCAGACAGGGTGCACATCTGTCTGAGGAGCCTTTTTCCTCATTATTTCATCCATTTCTTACCTGCATTTTCTTTTTAGCAACTCTACAATGAAAATACCCAATGCTGCTGTGCTTGTTGTTAAGGCTGAGTTGGATGTTGATGGTGTTTTGGAAATGGAGGCTGCTGCAAGATAGAGGGAGAGAAGAGCGAGGACCGTTAACTGCCTTTCCATACTGGGAGAGGTGGGGGAGGAGAAAGGGAGGGAGAGGAGGGTAACATGAGGAGATACAATAAGGGAGAGAGAGAGAGAAGGTAGGAGGAGAGAAATCTGGAAAGAGATAAAGGGAGTCCACAGAGGGGAAAAAGACTGATGAGGTCGTGCCAGTTACAGTAGAGAGGAAAGAGAGCAGAGCTGAATCCTCCCTGTAATTGAGCCGCTGCTTCTCCGACTGATCCAACGCAGGTAGGGAACACACACGCTGCACCCTTCATCCATCCACCACACAGCAGGCCTGCAAGACTCTGCCTCTTATGGCCCAGAGGGGTCCAGAAAGTTTGTCTTTGATCATCTGAAAGAAAAGGGGAAAAAAACGTGTAAAGGTAGAAAAGCTTTTAATAATTGGATACTTAATATTTGTATAAATATATAAACAAGTTAAATCTAGCCTATTGTTTTTGCATGTCTTCATCATTTTACCTCATACCTGGCTTTTCTATGCTTTTGTTTTGATTTGCAGTTACATTTAAAACAACCAAAAAGTGACAAATATATAAAAGTATACATTATTTCCTTATACATTTGTAATGCATAACTATTATTTCAGTTAAAAGCATAAAAAAGTTACCCATCTCTGTTTAACTTGTAATTTTAGCGATAAGTCGTTTAAACGTCCACCTTTTTCTCTGTTTGTCAGCAGTGTATCTAAAATCTTTTATAGCAGCTATGTTGCACTCCATCTGGCTTTCTGCCATTCTTACCTCCTGTTGTGTTCCCCACCTGTCTAAGCATCCATCTCTCTCCATCTAGGCATTGATATCACCTCCAAAAATCTGCGCATTGATCAGGCATGCATGAAAAAGCGTAATTCAACACAGATGGATGCATCTTTTTTTTCAGTCTGAACAAACTCCTGAATCTGCTATTGTTGCCCAATAAAAGATTTTTAAGGAGAGAGAGCAAAAAAGAGCAAATTACCTCCCCTGGCGGCTCCTTGTTAAAAACCTGTGTGTAGACCTGAATGCTCAAATTTATGAGCTACAGTCCAATGTTTGAATTATCGCTGCATGAAGCTGCTCTAACAGCTTAGGGAAGGTGCCTGGAGGATTTTATTACAACTTTTGTCTTACAGGATAAAAAAAAATCCCCCCCTGTGTGAGTCCGTGCTGACTGATGAGATTAGGCCTGGGCTACAGGTGCAAGTGTGTATTTTTGCACACGTCAGACTCACAGTACCAGCTGTTATGGTCGATGCATCTGCAGCTTATTCTTTTTAAGAACTGTCAGGTAGTAGAAGAGTGTTTCAGTCTCGGGGTAATGAGTTCAGAAGGAAGGTCAAAGGGTTTGCTAAACCAAAATAGTATAGAAGAGATAAGAAAAACAGATCAGATATCAGGTACCAGGTAGATCTTTGCAGAAAAGAGTCAGGGTAGGGACTTTTTCTGCAGTAGAGAGACCCGATGGCAGAGTTTAAAATAAGAAATTTAGCTGATAAACTGCATATAGAAGTTAGTCCAGATACTCTGCGTTCATATGTTGGTAAATATGATGTCAGAGCTGCCAAATCAAAGCTGGGCTGTTTGTTTCTGTACTGCATGTATTTTTATGGATGGCAGTTAAACTGTGACTTAATCTGCATTCAGGCGGGAGCTGATCAAACGCGCCGTGATATACAAGGCTGCGGTCAGAAAAAGTGTCAGAGTTGGACATTTAGAGTTATGTTGGCAGAGTAATTCAATCTTACCTCTGGAAATAGACTTCAGGGACAATATGCAGTAAGACATGGGTGTTATGTGTGTCCATATTGTGTGTGTGTGTGTGTGTGTGTGTGTGTGTGTGTGTGTGTTAACCTAGCTAAATTTAACTGTCTGCATTCTGCAGCTGCTTGGAGTTTTAGTTATACTATAGAAACATACTACAATGGCACTCTGTTTTTTCTGAAACATATCAGTATAAACAAAACAATTCTGCTCTTGACTTTAAAGTTTAAACCCAGTTTTAAGTCATTAAAAAAATTAGTCACGTGAGTTTTAAAGAGCTTTTTTTATATTTTCATTTTGAATTCCATTAAGCCAAAATTATTTTTATGTAAAAAGTGAAGAAACAAAGATAAATACTGGGCATCTCCACCTGTGTATATTCAGCTGCTCTTTGAAGGCCTTAGAGGTTGGTCAGAGCTTTAAAAAAAAACAAAAAAGTTCAATAGGGCAAAGGTTCACAGCAGACAGATCAGTTATAACATTGAGAGGAGCAGCTGCACACCTATTAAGACACAGATCTACACCTAGACTGAGGTTGGGGTGCATTAATCCGAGAAACAGCCAAGAGATTTACGGTAACTTTGCAGGAGATCCGGAGAAAATTACTATTTTTTTTGAGTGCAAATTTTACATTAATGCAGGAGCTGCATAAATAAAACCATTCTCATTATGTTTGTAACAAGCCATATAAGATCTACAGCAAACATGCAAAGGCGTTCTGCTCAGAACTGACAGAAACTGACAGTTTTGGGCTTTAATACAGTGGTGTGTTAACCTAGAGCCATTATCCAACAATAATGTTAAGGATAGGCTGTGAGAAATTATAAAACTTTTTTCCCTTCATGTCTACCATTAAAATATGTAAAAGATGAAAAGTGCAGCGATGACTGTGCACGTGACCTCCTCCTCCACGGTCTGCCTCTAAAAGAGTGTGAATCTGACTCAGCTGCAGGTCAGTGGATGGTCAGTCGGTGAGGTCAGACAGCCTCACGCATGTCATACATGCTGTTTTATTTCAGGGCGGCTCCTGCAGCACACATAGCCGCCGAAAATTAACTGTTGTCGCGTAGCCAAAGGCTGGCTCGGGATCAACACACCCAGAGATTCAAAGCTGAAGGGTCAGGAGGTTCAATAAGCTTTGTTCTCAGATGAAATTTATGTGTTGTGATAGAAGGGCAGGGAAGTGGAATTTTCCTCTTCTTTTATTTTCCAGGATTACATAGGGTTTGGCTTCCTAAATGTTCAGTCTACAAGTTATCTTCTTTTATTATGTGATCTGAAAAAGTTTTTGATTTCCAGAAATTAAATTAAACCCCCTGTCAGCTTGTGTTAAGGAATCTTGATAGTTTCCACCATGCATGAAGAATAATTCAGTTTTTGATCCCTTTCAGATGATGTCTTCAGAGCACCTGGCCTGTGGTTGGCTGCAGAAGCTGCTCGTCGTGCTTGTGAAGCTTTGTTTCGCGTTTGCTGGGCCTCAGCGACCTCTCAACGGGACGGGCTGCACGGCCAGGGGTCCTGCTTCCTACATCTTGGTCTTTACAGGTCACTGGAACCCGCAGTCTTTTCCAAAGCAGTATCCCCTGTTCCGTCCCCCAGCACAGTGGTCCAAACTAGTAGGTGAGAAAATTATGCCGTTTTGGAGGAAATACAATTTTTTCATCATATTCAACACTGATAAAATACATTTAGTACCACAAGGTAAAAGAAAAAACAAAAAAAACTAAATGCTACCAGATGGAGTTTCTCTTTTTTTCTCCACCTGATGACAGATGAAACTCCAATTTATCCATGTTTCCTCGACTCAGTCCCACCATCCTGCTCTACATTCCTGCTGGTTTACCAAACAGTTTTGGCGGTAAACAGAGTAGATGTTATAGGTCTGGGGGAGGTGGGTGATGAAGGTTAAGGCGTGGTGCGTCAGACCGCTTATACCTCAAAGCCAAACCACCGCTCCATATCCCCCAACCTATCCTCCTTCAGACTATCTTCTTTTTCTCCTCATTACAGGGCTAAATTGCTTTTTAAATTTTTAAAGCATTTTGTGATATTAAAAAAAATAAAATGGCATGGATTATGATAAATCCTTTTCAAAAAAATAACCTTCAAATAGTCATATTATGCACTGTAGGGAAAATGAAAGGAAAGAACTCAGTAATACTGGAGGAAAGATTAAGAAAAAGGTTGTTTATGGAGGATTTAACTGCAGGCAAAATCAGAGTTACATTTAAGACTAATAAAAATTACACAATAGACATGAAAACACAAGTGAGATCATGTATCTTTGTTTTATTCTATTTTTATATATATATATATTTTATTTTTATATCATGTGTCTATAAAAACCAGCTGAGTGAAAGAGGAGACAGGCGTATAAATGTTTTTGGAAGATGATTGGCTGAACAGGTGAGTCTAATTAACTAAATATGCTGCAGCTGTCAGAGGAAAGAGGAAACGTGGACAGAGATCAAGGGAAAGAACAAGGCTAAACACACCACGACTTGAGCCAAACTTTGAGTAAAGCAATGATGGAAGAGACCAACTAAACAAGGAAGTAAACACAAAACATAAGAACTCAATGAAATGTACAAACTTGAAAAGCAACATGACTAACAGCATTTAACACTCAGCCTTCCAGCAGGACGATGACCCCAAACCTCAAACTGTGTGTTTATGTGTTAAAATGGCCCAGTCAAAGTGTTCACCTATAGCCAAACCCAAAGTCATCCCACATTTCCCCCTTTTTGTTTGTTTAAAAAAAGTTAAAACCAATATTTCGTTTACAGTCGACGTTTGCAAACATGTTCTGCTTATAGTTCTACCAAAATGTGCAGAATGATTTTGCAGGATCCTGAGCAATATTTTCTTAAATTAGACAAAAACAAAATCTTCCTAGACTTCATAAAGAATACTAAAGTTTTGTTTGTGTTTAATTAACCACATTTATATTCGTGTTTGTGTTTAATGATAGAAAAGAAAGAAAACCTTTACTAATCTTAAAAAAACTATTATAATACCATGCTTTGTTTTTTGTTTTTCAATAAAAACATTTCTAATGATTTAATCATTAAAATTAGACTTTGATAAAGAAACATATTTTGGAGCGATATACAAAAAATTATACACAGCCTACAAATAAAACTTACATTAGTTGTAATTTTTTTTGTGCTTGCACAATTTTAGGATAAATATTTTAAATGAAACCACCTCAGGTGAAATTTTTATTTGTCTAAAGTAAAGAAAAGACACTTTTAAAGCAAAATTACTAATTTCCTGCTTTGCCCCAAAAATACTATAGGTTATTTGCAAGCACAATTAGAAGAAAAACTAATTTATTATGTTTTTTTTAAAATAAGAAATATCATAACTCTTTATGACTGCTGTCCTCTTGCTAACATATTGAGTGGGTGCTGAAAAAAATTATAAAAAAGGTCAAAGACGTTTCAGAGAGTCTGGAGATCTGTGGTCTAATGTATAAAATAAAACAGATTATTATTCTTTCTTGCGATGTGACAGTTTTTACAAGGTTAAAAGGAATCATTTTTGCAAATTGTTATTATTGAGGACATGGTGGCAACGATGTCTGGTTTCCAGGTGTGCCACGAGCAGAGTGCCCTACTTATTCCCAACAGAGACAGGCACCAGCAGTTCTGACACACTCATAATTATTTCCACGGGCATGGAAAGGGATGGTCTTTGTCACCAGGGAAGAAAAACACAAGGGCCTCAGTGGGCAGACATGAAAATACAGGGAACAAAAAAAAAAAGGGTACACGTCAGTGAGGGGCATAGGGCCGAGGACACTGAGGGACTGGACTTTGTCATGAATAAAAAATACTCAAGCAATTTAGGAAGGGCTGTCTTTGAAGTTTTGGTGGGGCTTAAGTGTTATGCATTATCAAATTTCAGGGTTTTGCTGCTAGTTAGGATGGAAATGCAATTAAGTCCTCTAGTAATAGGGATATGCGGAGAAAGAAGATAGTGTGTGAAGTGTGCTGGGCAGCCTGTGCAGCTAAGTGTGCTCTCATGCATGTGTCAAGACTATTTAAGGTTCAAATCATGACTCTGTGAGTCTGTGTGTGTTTGTCTATGCAGCTCTGAAAAGTGAGGTAAGGCAGAACCATCAGAGCATTTGTCAGCGTGTTTCTGGCTAACCTTACTCTGCCCTTACAACCACGGGCCCAGGTCAGTGGCTTTGTGGGTCTACAGAACCAGTTGTGTAAAAACTAAAGCGGGGCTCTTGATTTTAAACAGATTTCTGAGATAGGCAGAACGATATAAAAAAAAAGTGAGGAGAAAGCCCGCTGGCCCAGACTGCACAAAAAGCATCATTAAAGGTTTTCAGAATTGTTAAAATAAATTGTTTTCCACCCCCTGTCTGCCAAGTCTGGGATCCTGACCTACATCCTGGCAGCTCCAGCCCGTGTTGTGGTTTCCGCAGCAATAGATGGAGAATAAAACCTTGCCATAACGCGTACATATGAGCAGTTCCTTCAGAATTATCAGTTTAAGTGCAGGAAGTAGGTGGTAGCCGTAGAAATCCACTCAGGCCCTGCGGTGGAAATGATCTCATCATCTGGCTCGGGACTCTGCGGAGCTTCATTGACACTCACAACCAGTCAAGTGAGCATCCGTCTTACTTCCCTCGTCTCATATTTCTTCTATTTCTTTTTCTCTCTCAATAGCGGTGAGCCACAATCACCACTTTAGGCTCTGGGAGGAGGGCTCCCCTGCCAGTCCAGGAGTGCAGAGCTTCGCTGAAGTCGGGGTGACGGTGGAGCTGATGAAAGCAGCCAAGGAGGCCAGGAAGAAGCGCGCTGCGGGAGCCATGCACCGGACTGCTGGCATTCCCAACGGGATTGGTCACAGCTCCACGGAGATGCTCATGGTGCCTCGCAACCCACTGGTAGGAGACAACAAACCTTAAAAAAAGCACAATTATACTCCGTCGCTTTGACCAGGGACAATTACCCCATGCATCTGACCAACCAAGTCATTTTTATTCTGATTTCCACTACACCCAGTCAGACTTTGTTTAGACCAAGTGCTTGAGCTCAGTAGCCACAAACGCCCACATCCATCCTGCACGGTTTGCTCTCTGTCTGAACTGGGGCAGAAGGAGGGGCCCATCTGTCTAAGGTAAATATGGAGGCAGCAGCCAGTTACCTCAACATAAAGACTGCGGAGACACAGAACCAGCTACAATTTTCCTGTCTGAGGAAAAAGAAAATTGAGCCACCAGGGATTTTGCTGATTAGCCAGTTAAACTTTGAGCTAACTAGTTTAAAGAACGTAAAAGCTAAGACGAAGCCTGTCATTATCATCAACCCGAATATAAATCATGCATTCACTGTGATAGCCGCAAAAGGTCAGTTTGACAGGCCAAGAACAGGCTGGATTCCTGCCAGGCGTGTCAAATTAAAAAATCCCTAATATTGAACCTGTCTGACAACAGGAAGTAGGCCAAAATACATTAAAAGAAACACATCATGTCTTTATGTGAAGAAATCCAGTAACAGATGAGAAACAAAGTCCTTCATATTTATTATTATTTGGCATCATGTTATAGTTTACTGGATTCCAATAAACCACAGCAAGTCATTGTTTATTAAAGAAGAAAACATGGAACAGAGATGGACCATTCCAGAATAGGTGAGCCCTCCAACATAATGTCAGGAGCACATCGATTATTCATCAAACAGTCAACAGTTTAAAGCTCAACAGGCCCCACTTATGTTAGTTATAGTCAGTGTTCATGATTCAATAAAGGAAAAGAGACGAGGCTAAAGAGGATAGTGAAACCTGTTGGTGCTGTTGTAATGGCCGACGGCTTCGATGCTTCATGATCAGGACAACTAGCAATGATTGACAGAACTAATTCTGATTTCTGGGGAAAATCTGACCCAATTGTAAGACCATGAACTAAAACTCAGCCTCACCTGTTTATGCTGCAAATACAACAATCTGATGCAAACCAGTTCTACCCTAAATGACACAAAACAAATAAAGTGGAGGTTCTGGAGAGACTTAGACAGAGTCTGGACCTAAACACAGTTCAGATGCTGTGATTAACCTGAAAAAGCTGTTCATACCTAACAAAGCATCAATGCTGCTGAAGAAAAAAAATATTCTGCAGAGAAGAAATTTCCAAATTTATTCCCACCAAAGATTTGAAAAAAATAAATAAATAAATATTTAACTTAATTGATTACACATTGGAGAAATGTACCTCTGCATTTAACCCATCCCCTTGAGGGGCAGTGGGTTGCCATGGTGGGGCGCCCAGGGGTTAAGGGTCTTGCTCAGAGAGCCATAGAGGCTCTTTACCCTAAAAACTAGGCCGCTACTCCCCCAGGCAGATACGTTTCAGGCAAGGGTCGTTAGAATAGCCGTTTTTCCCTAATTAAAAGAAAAATCTGTGTTTTGCATCTGTCATCTTACTTTTTATTAGAGTTGACATGATCTGAAAGACTGAAGCGGGTCAAAAGAGTAAAAACAGAAGAGATCTATTAAGGTGGTGATACCTCTTGATCTAATAGTTGTCTGAATTTTGTATTAATACGAAATTCTAATAATTCACAATTGTTTAATTCCTTTAACAGCTCAGAGGGTTCTCCTTTGGTCATCGTCTCTGCAAACCTTCGTTTATGTAGAGAGTGAGTCAAAAAAACGAGATTATCACTAATAATTTGTTGCTTTGGATGATTTAATTCTTTTGACAAGCGAACTCCATCCCACTCACTAAGGGTTTTACACATGGGATGAGTTTCTTGGATACAGAGCTTCTTTTGTCCAAACAGAACATTTTTGTTTTGAACAACAAACTTAATGTTTGGTCTGCCGATGACACACCATTCCAACAATCCTCCATCCTCTCTATGTGATCTTTAATAATCTGCAGCTGAGTTTATTCATGTTCATCCATTGTGATGTCTGTGCAGGGAACAAGCTGCAGATGGGCAGTGCCATTCTTCTCAAACAGCCTTTTCCCTGCAGCATCATGAGCATCATCACTGCTGAGTTGCTCTGATGGTGGCCTCTTAAACATTAATGCGAGCCAACATTTAGATGATTAAATGTTGCTTCAAACCAGGCATTGGTTTCACTATAACTATGTTAATTTTCTGCCATCTTCATTCTCCAATGCTTGATCAGAACACATCCTAGTTCTTGTGTTTTGAATTAGGTTTTAAAGGCTTGTGTGCTGGATGCAAATATGAAAAGATACAACGGAGATGAGCTGATGCAGTCTGGTGAGATGATTGCTGTGTCATTCAGCCAGCGAAATATTTCAAAGCTCGTTGATTTTAATAAACGTAAACGATTTCGCAGTTGTTCCCAGAATCTGATTGAACATGAGGAGCTCTTTCAGATTGTTGGCTACATATTCCCTTCCTCTATGGTTTTACTCTGGAAGATCTTTGCTCATATTACTCAGTTTGGTTTAACTTTGAAAAAAAAAAAAGAAAGACAGGGAACATTTTATGTGTGTGGATCTTTTATAATCATATCCAGTTTAACCCATGGTAGGGATTTATCCTAAAATGAACCTGGGTCTGATTAATGCTATTAGGTTATGAAGCAGAGAGCTTGGTTGAGCTAAATGTTTCCTTTTTTCTTAGTTTACTTCAGTTCATTTCCTTCTTGTTGTTTGCATGGTAATTCACATCAAATGTCAGGTGGTGAGTCTGACATAGTGGTAAAATTGCAAATCTTCTTTTGGAAAATAAGCTTGTATTTTAAACTTTTTTTTTTCAAATTCGTGAAGATCCTTCACTATACCTTTAAGAAAAAAAAAAATGTTATTAAACCAAACAGTAGAATTTATCTCAAATATTCACCCAGTTCACCACAACAAGAACCAGAACAAGAACTACTTCTAAATGCAGGTATCAACATTAGAAAAGTTCAGCTTTACCATTCTTAGCTGCCCAGCCAAAGCCTGACTTGAATTTTAAAAAGATAAAGATTTTAATATTTACTGTAACAACCCTAAAAACATGGCACTTTTCACTCGGGTTAAGTTGAGTCGATCATGTCTGCTTGTGACTTCGGTTAAAAAGTTTAAATAACCCCTTTGACCCTTTCATTTGCAGCTTATCCTCTTGTTTTCTAGGTACATTATATCTGTGGCCGTCTGTTTTTAGATCAGACAAGCAAAGCAAAGCCCAAACGATTGAATGCGTTGTGTTTAACCTGCTTTAATGACGTGATACGGCTAATATCTTAATCTGTAAGCATGCCCGTCTGTCTGTTTTATTCTGATGCGCTCTCATTTATAAATGCTTTCTCATTCCTTTGAACACAGCAATGGTTTATACGACATCCCCCAGGAATCCCAAACACATGACTTCTGTCATCGTATATCCAGCTATTGTTTAATGTGTAGCTCCAAACAGATGGAGAGACAGAATGTGAGCCATTTTAAGCTCCCAGAGCGGGAGAAGCTTAGCATGCAGCTTCTCCTGGTTGTATGCTTTCTACTGGATGCCTTCTGGTGTTTGGGAACAATTTCTATGATGGAGACAAAGTGGCACAAATCATTGAGGGTTGAAGATTTGTCTTAACCAGAGAAACCTTTGTGTCTCTGTAATACAAGAGGAAAACCCACAATGGCACCCTTCAGATTGGATCTGGTGTTGTTCAGGCAAATACAAAAAGCAGAAGTGGTAAAGCAGTTTAAAGAATACAAATAAGGAAATAAAAGAAGAAGCCACATGGATTCCTCTGGTGTAGTCTTCACATGGAAAGGCGTACGTCTCCCTGGATAATCTTAATCCTTTGTCTCAGACCTGCTGGTTTAAGTTCTGTGTTCAGTTCAGCTCCATCATTCATTTATAACCCACTAGAAAGCCAGTTTTAAGATTGACAAGCTGAACCCAAATCTTTTTGTTCATAAGTACAAAGTTTTTTAAATGTGCTGGGTTTTTTTTTTGAACTTCTGCCACCACAAGTGTGTTTTGACCCTCCATCCACTCTCTGAGATGAGATCATCGTTTCTCAGGAAACATACATCATACAGGAGACAGACTGGGTGCACGTGCACGCATGCCGGCTGTGTTTTATAGGCTCAAAAATCCCTGCATTGACTCTCGTGTGTGATGTCACTCCTATTGCATTTATAGCGCTGGCCGATGTTACTGTGATCTCTGTGATTTCATTCATTCTGAACTCATCTCACTTTTCCCAGCAGAAGGATTTAACCAGTTGCACAGCTCAGACTCAGACTAGACTTACTGTTCAAAATGTTTTTTAAAAAGCAATTGTTTGCTTTAAAGTTTACGGCTACATCTCAAAAATATTAAGCGTTGCTGTTTGACATACAATGAATTGTATTCTTTGGCACCCGTTGTTCAGGATTAAGTTAGAGCTTACTGTAAATGCCTAACATGCATGACAGCCTTAACTACAGTTCAGATTTCTAAAGTGGGGTTTTATTGGGGGATTATAATTATTCACTATCTCACCCTCAAAACCCCCCCTACAAAAATCGGCCAAAATGGAAATGGAAATTTGTGCCAGGTTGGGTCTGGAAATGTTTGGTCAATAATTGTCGGAGCCTATTAAGAATTAGATTAATTAATTAATTTTCTAAATTATTGATGTTAAAGATCTAAGGTTGTGGGAATGGTAGAGCTATTTTTTATTTGTT